AGAGGAGTAGTGTTAAAGTAAGGGGGAATAGTATTTTTCAAAATCAAAATTCATTTTGAAATTAGAAAATCTTAAAATGTTTTGTTATATCAAAAAGGGAGATTTGCTGAAAACATTTTGATGTTTTGATATAAAAAATTAAATTAAAAGAATTTTAATTTTGAAAATGATTTTTCTAAGCATATTCGATATATTAAGTCGAATATCAAAATATTACTCTAAGTATTTCAAAGTTCATTTTAAATCCTTACTCAAGTGTAAAATTAAGTTTTAATCTTAAAATATTTTCAAAACGATTTTACAAAATATTTTGAACCATTTCAAAGCCAAAAATTCCAGATTGCTCAGAGGGAACCGATTCCCCCTGAATGGTTTGGCTCCGAGAATTCCAGTATGCTCGGAGGGAACCGATTCCCCCCACTGTTCAATGGTCGAAATATTTGAATTTTACACTTAGGGAACCGATTCCCCATTAGGGGTACCGATTCCCCCCACGCTCCAAGCAGAAATATTAATTGTTTTCACACTAAACGGCTCCAAAAACTTCATTAATGATCCCCAACGTTCAGAAGTGATTCAATGTGTATTTAAGCAAGCTTAGAAGCCATTGATCAACAACAAGAAACATCAAGCAACTAGAATCAAGAGAGAATCAAAGAGAAAGCATAAAACCTCAAGTTTGAGCATTTCAAGCCTATTTTTCATTCAATATTCATTTTGCTTTCAATAACACTTATTGTGCTCAATTGTATTCATTCTTGAGTGTTATTTTCTTTGTTCTAGAATTGTGCAAACAATCTACCTTGGGAGGATTTCCTTGTAAGTTTGCAAATTTGTATTGTTCTCTTTGGGAGAGAGTGTTCTCAAGAATTTGGGGTATAATTCTTGAGGGTTTGTAAGGTTACTCATTGTCCTCAAAAGAAAGACAAATTAGTGAATTTGTGAAAAATCCTTAGTGTGGATAGCTAAGGTAGTGGACGTAGACTTTGGTTGAGAAAGTCGAACCACTCTAAATCGATGTGCAAATTTCTTTCAATTTTCTGCAAAAGCTTCCACCAAAATTTTAATTGCCAATTCACCCCCCTCTTGGCCATATTCGTCAATCGATTAACTCAACAAAATGTGTGGTATTTTGTAAAAGAAAATGTTTTGAGATGTCAATGTGACACTTCAGACTCGTATCCGGGTCGGGTACGGGTTGGGGGTGTTACAACCTCTTTACATGATTTATGAAACATGTTGATACTGGATAATTGTATGAGTGTTTATGATTGGTCTATTATATATGTTTGGTTTTGAATAGACTCGAACTCAATACGGTTTAAATGATAAATTGGTTAAGACACGATTGAATTGCACAAAGGAATTGGTATATTAATAAGAAATAAATTTAAGGTTAGTGATTAACAGACAAATGAATTAATCTTAGAATCCTTAAACTTTGAATATTATCATTAAATATTTTGATGTCAAAAATGTTTGGAAAGGAAATTATGAAAATACCCTTATGAAGTAAAAAAAGAGATCAGAATTGACCTGAATAGTGAAATTAACCTGATAATTCATTCTTGACTTGATAGAACTACTGATCCACCGGCTGAACTCCTGACTTGTTTGGAAGACCTGTGAATTGGTTAAAATACCTCAAAATCGGTTCTTAATCCTCAAGATCAGTAATAACTAAAATAACCCCAAAAATTCATCCTTTATCTGATAGACTACTTATTCGCTTGATAAATACTCTGTTTGTTCAAAAACATCATGTTTATCGATTTTAAATTCCTGAGGCGATAAAATATTTAGAATTTCAAATTTTTGGAATAATCACCCGATGATTAAATTACTAGAAATGATATATATATATATATATATATATGACATATGACTAAATCAAAGAAAATGATTGGAATACCTTGAACTCTAAGATGACCGAAGCAATTTCGAGTACAAAAATGACTCGACTACCCTTATGTCCTAGAAATAAGTGAATGTTATTTGATAATTCTGGAAACACAGAGAAAACCTAAGTATTATATTGTCCCTAAAGGTTATGGAGTACGAATCAAGTATGTCCCTCATGTTGGAGACTGTTGCAACATATAAATAAAACAAATACCATCGAAATACGTACAGTTCCTCAAGATCCGTTCAACGATGGTTCTGAAGATGATCAGTTCGACTACTATTTTCAGTATTAAAGTGTGAATATTCTTGAAGTGCATCAATTTGAGTGGTTGACAGGTATAACAGTATTGGGATTTGTCGGTTCGAGTTGACCTGATCTCTTGATAAATCGATATGAATCTTGAATATCGTAAATCATCGTTTCACCTTTATTGGATTAAGTTGCTAAGAATCCATTAGAAATAAAAGTGTCTGAAATACCCATGATGGCCTAAATAATGGAATTGCTCTGGTTATATTTGAAATCTTAATTTGTTTTTATGTAAAGGTTTCTAAATATCTTTCTAATACACCTAAAATCCTAAATGGTCTTGAAGCATCAATCTCTAAATGTTTGTTTAGATTCGTTAGCAATTAAACCCCTTTTTAGTAGGGATCTCATTTCTGAAATCCATTCAACTTATAAAAGCTCGTGTTCCCCTTCCTGATAATTACTACGTGCCTTCGAAAAATAACTGAATTTTCTAGTGTGTTTCCTATATACTATATGATTGATTTATCTGTCCTGAATGTAATTTACCGAAGTTACTAATTTACTGAGTCTTTTAACTGTTCAAAATTATGAATTACTGATTTATTGATTTACGGTTTGTGAACTATGACTACATGATATATAATTTTTGGTTACCTGTCCCCATTGGAAAATATAAATATGTCTGATTTATGGATCATGAAATTTTCTATTTACGATATGAACCGATTATTGAGATACTATCTGGGTACGATTATGGAGTATGGAGGTTCAACTTTGATCAAACTGGTAATTCCTTACGAACCTAAGGTGACCTTGGGTAGTCTCTCAGGCCCCAAGGCATTCCCTTAGGTTGGCTCCTAGGTCCATTGGGCCTAGGGTAAGTCTTTATGGATGCAGTTCTTGGGAATTACATATGGTGTCCGATTGGAAGACATTTATGTGATTTAAATAACTACATTGTCATTTTTACAATATTCTATTGGATAATGATTTTGATATTATAATTTACTGTTCAATATGATTTCTATTGGATATTGTATGGGTATAAGTCTAGAGTACGGAGGTTCATCTCTGATCAAGCTGGTAATTCCTTACGGACTTAAGGTGACCCTTGGGTAGGCCCATAGGCCCTAAGGTACTCCTTTAAGGTGGCTCCTTTGTTGTGTGCTTAGGGTAAGCCATTATGGATGCAGTGCTGGGAGACTGCATACGAAATGTTCGGGTGAAGGGTATTACAATGATTTTAAAAATTTGTTTTACTGAAATAAGATACTACTATTTTTAATCTATGATTTTATTTGTCCTGGATTTTTGGGAACACACTAGACATCCTATTCCGATCTCCTCAACTTGGTCCTCTGAACTTTTCCTCTGAATTGTAAGCTTTCTATCTTTTACTTGAAGAAATATCAGTGAAACCTTAGCTCATCACGAAAACATGTAGATGTTTGAAACAATAAGAAAATTTGTATGCTTGTTATTTATCTGCATGTCCTTCAGCATCACCTGGTAGTTATGTATTACTAAGCTTCCTAAAGCTCACTCTTTACTCACCATTTCAGGTTAAAAGAATTGATCCAGTGTAGCTATCAACTTCAGTTTTGGGAGTTCCTTCAGCTTTGCTTGCAGAGTATGGTACAATGTGTAATTAGGGGGCATGTAGGTCACATTTGATTTTTTATATATATACTAAGTCTGAAACTTGTAGGATTTTAATTCTGTTAGTAATATATGAATGGTTTTCTAAACTTGTATTTTATTTATAAATTGTTTTATTTTTTTACACGTTTTAACAAAAAATTTAATTTTTCCTGGATTTTTATTGTGGGTCGCTCATGTGGCCCTAATATGACACCTCGGATCAGGATCGGATCACCCGCATCAGTCTGAGGGTGTTATAGAGAATGTGTTTGTATGTTGTAAAAATTTAAGGTTGTTACACAAACATGTTTTAAAAATAATCTTGGATCAGGGGAGAACGACGTTGTTCCCGTGACGTATGTACTAACTGTTGCATTGGCTTATCTATAAATGAATTTAATAGTAAAGGCTAGAGAGAGTCTGAGCCGACTTTAGTTAACTTACCCTTATCATCGTCGATGATGAATTTTTGACAGAGGGGGAAGGGATGGTTAAAGAGTATGGGAATATAGATAAGGAATTTGAGTATTGAAATTTTAGGGATTTAAAGGATTGATGCGACAATGAGTGCGATGATTGGTCATTGGATGGGCAATGACGGCTGGGTAGCTATTTGACAATAATGGTGACGACCGACGATGGCTAGTGATGGTAATTGGGGGTTTGAAATTAAAAGTTTTAAGGGTTTGAAGATATTTTGAGATTTTAGGATTTAAAAGATTGATGTGACGGGGAGTGCGATGATTGATCATTAGATGGGCAATAACGGGTGGGTGGTTATTTGACAATAATAGTTACAACCGACGGTGGCTAGTGATGGTAATTGAGGGTTAGAAATTAAGGTTTTTAGGGGCTTGAAGATATTTTGAGATTTTAGGGAAATTTTGAGTTTTTTAAATAATAATTATAATTTTTAAGTTTTTTCAGGGTAAATTACTAGAATGGTCTCTTACCTTTTATATTTGTACAGTTTTGCTTAATAAATTCAAAAACTTAAGTTTTCATCGCTTACTTTATCACTTTATTATGTTTTGGTCATTGAGACGTTGAATGTTGTTATTTTAATGACGTGACACGTTAGTAAAAGGGTATAATTTTTATTTTAATCCCTAAACTTTAAATAAAATACTAATTATGAGTCTTTTTATAAACCCAACATAATTTAGGGACAAAAGTTTAATTTACTCATTTTTAATATATTTTTCTTCCTAGCTTCTCCACTTGTGTCGCACACTCCCATGCTCAATATTTGCATTCATTTGACTGGTTCTAAGTCGGGAACACATGAAAGGGTTGCAGATGTTGGAATTCGGATCATGAATTTGCTGAACCAACAACGTGTAACCCGAGTTCAAAATAATACATATTGTAATAATCTGAAAATATTTTGGATCATTTGATTGACATTAGAAGTATAGGATCCAAAAACTTTACCATGGGAGAGGACCATGACCATTGTAATACCTTACCAATTACGACGGACAGCCCGAATATTCTGAACATTAAATTAGATTTTGAAGTGACTCGGACACATATCGATTCATGAACATGCATTCTAAACGATAAGCAATAAAATAAACAAGCAAACTTGCTTAACAAGCAGCAGAGCATATTATACATCATACTTAATTAGTTGTAACCTAAAGATTCATTTGAAATAACATAATTAACAAAGTAGGCATACAAGAGTAAAATAGTCATTTCATAACATATCTATGTAATCAACACGAAACTTCATAATTAACCTTTGTTATTTTGGTCATTGAGGCGTTGAATGTTGTTATTTTAATTATGTCATAATTATTCTTTTAAAAGGAAAAGAAAAACATGTAATTTTGTTCACAATTATTCTCAAACTTATTTGATACTAGCTATGCATATAATAAAATTGTTTGAAATTTTAATAGAGGAAGAGAAATTATAACCTTTCAATATGGTGACTGAATCTAACTGCTCCCCGAAACAAGCTCACCAGGTGCCATAGCCCAAAACATACTAAACTAATTGGTATAATGAATTAAATTAACCTCATCTTTACAAATGACTATTTTGGTCCTTATTTTTTTAAAATATTTATTTTTAATATTTCATTTTTTCATATTAATCTTTGTTGGATGAAAACCATTAGTTAATTAATATTTAACGCATATCATTGACTTATCATTTTTATATATGTTTAATTTTTAACGTGATATGTGTAACGTTATCTAAATTACTGAAGTAATATGCGTCATGTCACTTTAATTGATGATGTAACATATGTTATATCATTTAAATGATGACATAATATATATCACATCAATAATATACGTTGACCGTTAGTTAAGTAATGAATTGTATTTAATATAAACTTTTTTAACCAAAATTTAAAATATTATATGATCAAATACTCCAAAATATAAAGACTAAAGAGATAATTTGGATAAATAGTGAGGCATTAGTGCGACCAGGTCGATTAGATATGCATATTCATATGTGCGTATTGCAACGCATGTCGTACTACGATGGTGTTTTCGATGAAGAATGCATGTTGTTGACTTATTATTTTTATATGTGTTTAATTTTTAATATAATATGTGTGACGTCATTTAAACTGTAAACGTAATATGTGTCATGTCATCTTAATTGATGATTTAACATATATCATATTATTTAAAATGATGATATGATATATATCAAATCAATAATATTAATTGATTGTTAATAAATTAACAATTTTTATAAAATATAAATTATTTTAACCAAAATTTAAAAATATTATAAGATATTAATGATATCTTAATTAATAATTTTTTTATAATATGATATTTTAAGTAATATTTCGAGTTTGAGTTTTTATATATGTAAAAAATCTTAGGGAGATTAATTCATCAAAATCGGATATGCAACTCATATTGATTCGGATTAATCAAGGCAAAACTAGAGATGGGCATGGGTCGGGTTAGGTCAGGTTTTTGGTCCACCTGACCCTACCCGAGAACAAGGAGTCCTCCACCCGAGACCGACCCGACCAAAATAAGTTTTCACCCTACCCATATATAAATTAAAATCCGACCATAAATAATAAAAAATATTTTTATTCAATAAAAACAATGACTTAATTGATAATAATATATGCAAGGGTATTATTGTAATTATTCCTAAATATATAAGGTAAAATTATATATTTTTTTGGGTCGGGTCGGATATTTTTCACCCTAAACCTGAACCCGAATCGACCCGAATAGGGGTGTAAACGAGCCGAGTCGAGCTCGAGTATTGCTGAGCTCGACTCGACTCAAAAACTTTGAAATGAAGCTTGACTCGACTCGAAAACTCACAAGCTTAAAATTTTTAAAGTCGAATCGAACTCGAAATCCTGAACTGAAGCTTGTGAGTAGCTCGAAAAGGCTCGAAATGAAAAAAAAATCTTAAACTTAACTAGATTGAAGCCTCAAACTTGAACTAGATTGAAGCCTCAAACTTGAACATAAACCTTAAATACATAAAAACCTTATTGTATTTTAAAAAAATTAACACATAAATGTTATTATTATTAATAATTTATTTTTTAAAAAATAAAATCTTAATATATTATATTTTCGAGCTGCTCACGAGCTTTTCGAGTCGAGTATCAAGTAGCTCATTTTGGCTCGTTAAGAATTCGAGTCGAGTCCATTCGATCCGAGTATTTATCGAGCATTGATCGAGTCGATCTCGAGTAGCTCGCGATCTGTCTAGTCTCATTTACAGCCCTAGACCCTAACATCACATTAAAAAATACCCGACACGACCTGAACTCAAATTTTTTAAAAAAAAATCTGACCCGATCAGACGGATCAATCTGAACCTGTTAAATTCGGGAACCATGCCCATCCCTAGACAAAACTTTAAAATCGAGAAGATAAAAAAAACTAAAAAAATATAGAGACCCAAATGATCAATATTAAGGTTAATTTTATTATTATGTCGAAATAATTTAACAACCTCCTCCTATATAACGCCGCCGCCAGATTCTTCACTTTCCGAACACTCTCCCTCCCTCTCTAATCTAGAACTAAAGAAGGAAAATGATGGAGGCTGTGATAAGAAAGAAGCCAGGAATGGCGAGTGTGAAGGACATGCCAATCCTCCAAGATGGGCCTCCTCTGGGTGGGTTCGCCCCCGTCTGATACGCCGGTCGGATACCCAACAAGGCCCCAGTGCTATGGCTATCTTTCTAGCTGCTTTAGGTGCATTCTCTTATGGGACGTACCAGGTCGGCCAACGGAACAAGATCCGCTGGTACTTGTTTTTCTTCTATCCGGAAAAACCATTAGGTTTCTCTTCCCCCCCCCCCCCGCCATGATTTTCTTATCTGGGTGTATTTCTTTTTCTCAATCTTCACTCATAGAATTTTTGTACGTTTAATCTGTTCTTTTTATTTCTTTGCTTGGAATCATTGCTATGATTTTGTATGGTAATATTTTTTGCTTTTACCTCTTTTATTAGAAAGCTTTTGATGGAATTGAAAACATTTTTAGCTTATGATGGGGCTTGGAGTTAGATATTGCTCTTCTGTTTAGCTTTTATCTGGGTCTTTATCTGTGGTTGTTTGTTGGATAGATTCTTTTTTAATATTTATTTAAATTAGCCTGGGAAATGTGGTGCGTTCTACTGATTATTAGTATCAAATTTCGTTCAAATTTGCTAGTTCTTTCAAAAGGTTTTAGTATATCCTTTGAAGAAGTTGATAGGAGTGGAAAAGTAAAGACAATGTTGAGATACTATGACTTGCTGGCAATGCTATTTCATATTGAAAACAGTGGCGGATCCATTATTTTACTGATTGTACCATCACTGATATTTTGTTTGTTCCCACCCAAAAAAATATTTCTGGATCCGTCACTATTTGAAAATGCATGCATGATGACCTCATGAGCCTGCCTAGATCTGAGTTTAGGAATTGCAGCAGTCTGCTTATGATTTTAGTAATTCGTTAGTTTATTCACTACTCAAAACAGTTCAGGACTGCCTGTTCTTTCAAATGGATTTTGTTATGTAACCTATGAAGAAGCTGGTAGAAGGGGAAAAGGTCCTATCATTTGGTCCTGTGACTTATGGACACTGTATGAAAATTTGAAAAGTCTATGTACTTAGTTTATGAATTTGTTAGCCATTTCATAGGGCAAAAAACTAGTTAGCTAATCAAGTAGGTATCATTTTATATGATATATCCATGCTTTTGTTCCATTTAGGCTTGAAATATTAACAAGGATTTAAAGATTTGTCTAAACTAGCATGTGCATTTAATATAGATGATATTATGTTTGAACATTTATGGGTTGATGAATTATTGATCTTCTAATTGTTGGTCTCATGGCAATGAGTTTGACTGCACAGTTGGTTATTCAAATGGTTGCTTGTTGATTTTAAAGCAGTGTTGTCAAGAGCTCAAGGCACGCTCTAGGACCTAGAATCCTTATATTGCCTCAGGTGCAAGGCACAGTTGTGCTCCCCAAATGAAGTAAAATGTCTTACGCATGTGTGCATTTGTTTGCTTATACACACACATGTAAAATAAGCTTTAAAGTGTGGTCAAGTCTATCTAGGAAACATGCAATTTTTTGTTTGCCGAAATGCATGATTTCCTTATGGTCCATGTCTATAGTGAATGCTCAAATATTAAAAAGTAGAGTTTGATACTAGTCAGTGGTGAGCCGTTGTCCAGGAGGCAAATTCTGTATGCTTGATCCAACTTTTGTCTGATAGCAGGACAGACTTCTCTGATGTTCTCCTAAATATATTGATTACTTTCCTCTTCAATTAAAGTACTGTTTTCTGAAATGCATTTTTCAAATCTAAATAAATAGATCGATAGTTGTGTTTATTGTTTTTTTTTATAAAAGTTGAAGGTCTCATTAAAAACTCCCTTCGTATTCGTCGACATACTAAGAAGTATGTTAACGAACATTGGAAGGAAGAAAAGAGTGCCTCATATTTCATTGAATAAAACACCCATTACATATGAAAACACGAAATATCCTCAAATAGGGATATACACTATTACAAAAAACCATAACCACCTAAAACTCTTGCCTCCTCGACCACAAAAATCTAGAGGTAATCACCCTATACCTAAGATAAACCTCCAGCAAAAGAAAAACAACCCAACAATTAATGACATAACATACATGAAAACAACACCTGCAACCATTAAAACGAAAACATCCGCCTCTGAAGGGAACTCCACA